AGGGAGAGGGAGGGAGAGAAAAGTGGACAGTAAAAGACAGAGGAAATTAAACTGAGGACAAAGTGAACGAACGGATTGAAACTTAACAGCTTCGGATTGTCACTACATCTGTCGTAAATAAGATCTATAGAGAGAAGGTTACCTCAGTAAAACCGGTTGTGGGCGAGGGACGATGAAGGAAGGGGGGAGCTAGAAGCAGCTTGAAGACGAGGGGGCGATGAAAAAAGGGGAGAACATGATGACCTTATCTTCAAACAGTAGCTGTCTGAGATAGCTTCTGCTTACAGATAACATCATCATTGCCGCTCGCCCTTCTCTGCATTTGCCCTTTTTGCCGCTCGTCCCTCTTTGTGTATGAAGTAATTTTCTCTCTACAGATCTTGGGTTGTAAATCCCTATCTTGGGTATTTCCTAAAATTCCATGAAGCCGGCGCACGTGTCGTAACAGACTGGCGCATGTGCCATTCACGTTCGTAGAAAGCTGTGCTCCTATTTTGAACCCTCATATCACCTCATATCACGTCGATATCCTCTCACTCGTATGTGTCGACACAACGCCCACTGCACCGGCTATTCTGATATACTACATTGATAAATGGAGATAACAGAATGTAACGCGAAAATAAAAGTGCTTCGTCATGAGGAAGGAGATGGCTGCAGCGTGCACGTGAAGTCTGAGCTAGTGCTGCAAAGGCTGCGAAGAGAGACGTGGTTAAGTAGTCAATTGCGTGATTCTTCTAAAGTGACTTTGAGAATTCCTTGCCGAAAAGTCAGTTTGTGAAACTACGACTGTTTCTAAAAGTTACTTCGATTTATTGAAACATCGTTAACCTTGGCAATAGTTATGGGTAAATATTAGTATTGTTTAATATAATTTGCAATTAGTTGCTTTTATTGCTTTTATTGCTAAAAGAATTTTAATATGATGTAAAATATTTTTTACCGGTATATTGATTTTTTATCGATAAAAATAAGCAGCAGTTAAATAAACCGCGAGAGTCAACATGAGATTGTTGAATAGCGAGAAACAAATAAAACATGTGAGATAAGATAAGATATATATAGTTAAGTAACATGGATTAATAATACGAAATTATAAGTTTAAAGAAATATTAATGAAAAATATTTAAACCTTAAGAAATGATAACTAATAAAATAACAATTACTTTTTTCTAACAAAGAATACAATAATAAAAATACAAGTGTAAAATAATTCAAGAGCGAAAAAGAAGAGAGAAAAACAGGTGCAAACAAAGAATTAAAAAATAAAATTTTGTTAGACGATAAATATGTAAATAAAATGTAAAATGCGAGAAGAACATTATATTTAGTGACTTGTTTGAACTAATAATGATGATAAATGAACAGAAATTCTTTGATGAATTGAGGCCAACAATGATGAATAAAAAAATGTGGAATTTAAAAACATTCATAAAGTTTGTGGTGAATTGTAATGTGATGTCTCCCTCATAATTTTTAATTAGTGAAATTAATGAGCTTAATTAAGTGCACGAAGTGGAAAATAATTTTATTCTGAATGATATCGCTTTTTTTGCTTCGTATTATTTATTTCTTTTTAGGCACAGCAAATTATAATACGTTTCATAACATAGTGACATAATTAAGTATGTTTATTTATCGATTATATAATAAACAAAACCAGTACGAATATAGAATTAATCTTAAAATATCGTAAACGATTGAAAGGCGTAAGAGTCGAAAAGCGTTATAACTCGCGGAATGACCGCATGGAATCCGGCATTTCGCACGGCACATTTCCTACGAACAATGCATGTATTTTCTCTCAATTTTATTTCTCTCATGCGATGAGCAGCTTTACTTCGTTATTAAACATTATTGACTGGAACAAATGATGATAAGTGCGCAATTTTCTTTGTTGCCGAGTGTGAAAAAAGAATACTATTATTTAAATGTATATATTAATCTTATCAATGTATACTATTCCATCATCCAATCACAACAAGAATATTTTTATCTACTAATTATCATAACAATATATATACATTTAATATGCTCTTTACTTTTATATAAATTTTTACCAATAGTCGTAATTCTTTTAAATCGCTAAAGAGATTGAATAAATCATGCTTGAAGCATTGAAAGGCCAGTTGCAGTCCTTTCGTGTTCGAATAATGCCTGTTTCTTGTAATATTGATTTTGCCAAGCGTGCGTAAGGTCCCCTAAATTCCCACACAAATAGGATTTCCTTTTTCAGAAAATATATCCAAGGACTCGTATGTATATATAAAAATACGTCTTTGTTGTTTTATTTATTTAGTTGGAAAAAAATGTATGAATAATAATCTCCTATATGATTTTTTTCTTTTAAATGGAATTTTTTAAGATGTATGCTTGTTTACAAAAATGCTGATAATAATTTATTAAAATGCGACAAGTTATTTTTGTGCAGATTTTTTTGATCTCCATTTGTTCGAAAGGTCACCGCGATAAACTACCGTGTACGTGATTTGCATAAAATCCGTATTTGTTAACGCACCTGTTGTGTCACATTGTATTCTTCCGTTATTTAATATTTTTCAATTAGAAGATGAACAGACTATAATGTTTCTTTCTTTTCTTTTCTGGCCGATTAGTTGCATAATAGTTCTGCTTGTTTTTGAAGTCGAGTGCCGTTACTCAGCATTTCTTAATCGCTAACCATTGACATTATAGAAATATCTGCTGCTATTAAAGTGTTTTTACTGCTTTTTACTTTTCTTTATTTATTATGAAAAAAATACGATTTATAAGAAATTTTAATTATTATATAATATTGACACAATAAAAAATGGCAGTTTTAAAATATCTTACATATTTTCTTATTAAAGAATTTGATAGCATTGATTGTCTTAATTAAAAATTGTACTATGTATAAAAATTTAAATTTGCGCGTACTCAATTAGCATATAAAATTTATCTTGTAATTATTTTGCATTGCGCAAATCGCACTTTATTCATAATGTAGGCAATTTTATCCAAAGTATAGCACGGTTGGAGAAACAGTAGATTTATGTGATTTGCGTGCAGAGTGCTAATTAGCAAGTTATTTAACACTTAAATTAACGGAATTTTCTTAGCAGAAGCTTACTCCATCATTTACACTCTTACTAACGATTGATTCTACTTTAACAAAAGCTAATATTACAAGGTAAAGATGGAAACTTAGCAGTAAGAATTTTGTACGAGCTTTACATTACACTGGCTCGTTGTGCTTCGTTGCGTTCAATTTCATCGTGTACGCGTTGACCGGTTTTGCACGTATGCATGTCATTATGTGCCGACGAAAAAAGAGCACAAAAAATGAATATGTACTACATCCGTTTCCATTTCGCGTTTAAAGCGACAGAACGACATATTTTCTTAAGTATTGAGTTTAAATTAATTTACTATCACGAAATATCTCACGCACGTGCATTTATGTACGTCGAAATTATCTATTATTTTTTGCATCTGAAATTCCCTCCGATCATTTTTTAGCAACATTAAGTCTTTAGTAAACACAGAACATTGCAGCAATGTTTGCAATATTGCTGTAATGTTGCTACAATGTTACAATATTGCTGCAATATTGCTGCAATGTTCTGTGTTCACTGGATTGTAATTTAAAACTATTATACATTACGGTAAACGATCAGGTGATCTCATTTAATCACCATTTTATGAAAAGTTTTCGGAATTCATGAAACTGGTTGTGCATCGTGCAGACTTAATTTTTGCCACGAGAAAGAAATATGTTGTTACATAACTTAAGTAACGCCAACGTCGCGACGGTATTAAGTGCTTGAACGTCATGTCGTTAAATGCACGTTCATTGAATATACGATTGAATCATATCTCCATTTGTTACGCAATTGTTTATTCGCTCAATATTGAACTCATATAGTTTAACACGAGACAATTGAAATCATAAGTTTCTATTTTTTTCAATCTTTCACGTCACATAACTATTAATACTTGAATTATTTGATTAAGACCGAGAATTCAAATAGTCTTTTTTATCATCAAAATTTTCATTAAGAAAAATATGTTAAATTTGGAGACTGTATTGTCAAAATTAAGATTGCAAGTGATAAGTACAATTTATGTATTATTTCAGACAGAGCGCGACTTGCATACGTTACGGCTGCTGCTGTGGGCGCCGGCACGGCGGTCTTCTTCATCTGGTGGTGGAGGACCGAAAAGCAGAAGCCTCGACCGCCGTCGACGTGGCGAAAGGTCGGGGAAGTGAGCGATCTAGTCGCGTATCCGATCAAGTCACTCGGCCCAATTCGCCTGAACTCGATGGAAGCCACGATATTGGGTTTAAAATCCGGATGGATGAGAGATCGGTCATTGATGGTCATCGATCTGGAGAGCCGGTTTGTCACTGCCAGACAAATACCTAGCATGGTCCAGGTAAGAAGCTATAAAATTCAATATATAATAATTTTAGAACAATTTATATATTGCATAATTTATATTTTATTAAAATTTTTATTATATATTTTATTATATTTTATTAAAATAGTAGAGATATATACCAGAAAGAGTTTGCTGCATCTATTTTATATTTTCATATACTTTGAAGGTGTCGCCCAGCTTTTCTAACTCCGTACTGACACTTTCTGCTCCGGGCATGGTGTCAGTGTCGGTTAACCTTGCGGAGCTTCGTGGCAAAAATTTTCGAGTTGCTATGTGGGGTCAAGTAGTATCAGCATGTGACTGCGGCGAAGAAATTGCTCAATGGTTGTCACGCTTTCTTCTTCATGAAGATACTGGTCTTAGATTGGTCTATTATCCGTTAGAGCGGCCGGCGAAGCCGGTAAGAAACTGCGACAAGGTTTTTTCAATGTTGGAGAACAACGATATGGTGAGTATGTTTTGTGATACAATAAACTGTACGAAATTGGAAAGGCTAACTAAATTAAAGAATAATTAATATATTTATTTGCTAAACATTTAATTAATTTCTTGCATCAGCCAATACATATGTATTTACAAGTTTTTTTAAAATGTATTGAATATTATTATATATTTAGTATATATATAAATTATTTCCGATTTATTGTTTATTTTCGGGCATCTATGTAAACTTCTAATACCGTAAATTTTTTCTAACGGAAAGATCGCGCTTCTACTGTAAATCGGTTAAAGTGATTTGCGTGCATCGTCCATCTGTTACTGCCGTCGCAATGATAAATGCAAGTTGACATAATAAATACTGACATAATAAATCCGTTAAGTTGGTTGGTGCAATAGAAGAAAATTATATTAGAAAAATAATTTACTGTAATGTAAAAGCAATTATAAGTACAATTATATATATATATATATATTGTCATAATTTTATACGATAAATTTATTATAAAAAAATTATTTTACGCTTTAATAGGGTGGCTATGCAGATAATACGAGTTACTCTCTTGTTACCGAAGCTTCAGTAGCAGATCTTAATTCTCGACTGGATGAAACAATCTCATCGCAACAATTTCGCATGAATATTGTAGTCAAAGGTTCTACACCTTACGAAGAAGAAAAATGGGACTGGATAAAAATTGGAAACTTGATTTTGAGAAATGTTAGGCCGTGCACAAGATGCATCTTAACCACGGTCAATCCAGAAACTGGACAGAAAAATTCTAAAGCGGAGCCTTTGGTAACTTTGAAAAGGTATATTAAAAAATATATAATTATAAAATAATATACCAGGTTCTTCTTCAAGAGTTACTAGAACATAAAATAAGTATAGCATAAATTTAACGTATAAATATAATTTTGATACTTCGTCTCGTCACTAATAAAAAATTTTTTTTTACAGCTATAAACAGTGCACAGATCCGCATATTCGTTCCTTAGTTGGCAATAGTCCGATAATGGGAATTCATCTTGGATTGCGGGGACCAAATGGGACAATCCAAGTGGGCGATTCTGTTTACTTGGGTATCTCGGATGAGAAGCCGAAGCTTTCGAGTCCAGCATCTTAGCTATTCCGTTGGGATTCCTACGAGTTTTCAGAAGCCGAGCCGACAGTTCGTATTGAAGACGAAGAAGCGGAGTCCAGAACTGGTGATAAATATTAATAGAAACAACTATATGGACAATTGTGTGCATCTTCAATAATGAATAAAACGGTGATTTCACAGGTGGGTAAGAATTAATAAAATTACAAAACTATTGTTAATAATTGTTACATTTTATGAAAAGTTAAGCACGATGAAATAAGTGGAAATTTGCAGTAAACACTAAAATAAGCAACGATAGGATTTAATAATCCTAGGCCTAAGTGTGATCCAAATAATATAAGTGTTTTTTTAAACACAAAAATGGCAAAAATTTCGAAAAAATAATTTTGAGAATTACGAGGTGGTAAATCTGTTCAAACGATGGATTGAATTGTTAATATTTTAATATAATGCCTTAAGTGTTGTTGCATTTGTATTGTACGTGGCTTAAAATAATAGTTATAAATATGATTGATGATGATTTGAGTGTAATAATATCATTATTTATTTTGTAATTTTAAAAACAAATATTTATAAAGATAATTATTTTACGGCACTACATTTTATTTTATTGGAAGTTAGTGTGAATTTCATTAATTTTGTTGATAACTGGACCATACAATATTTTTCTAATAATATTTTTGTACTTTAGGAAGATTCTAATAAATTATAAACATTTTGTCAAATGCAAATATTCGCTATGATCTCTCCTACATGTAAGAACTCTTATTTAATATGTATGATCAAAAATCGAAGACACATGATTTACTTATTACGAGATTTATTCGCACTACAAAACAACAGCGATGTTTTACATAGAGAAATAATACGCTCTAAGGAAGAGAAACGTCGTGTTTCATGTTGACGACTTTACGTTCGTCCGCGTTATGTTACTTGTTGGATTTTCCCGCTGCGGAAAAATCCAATAAGGAAAATACTTTGCTCTAATTGTTTATTGCGGTAACGAGTTTGATACAATATGCATCTATTGCATGTCAAGGACAAATACTTTGATTTTATTATTAACAATATTTAGAGAATTGTCTAAATTTCATGTCACTGCGATTTTTAAGGAAGAGAGGAATAGCTATAGGAGAGAATTGTGTACAAGAGAACAGTAGTATATATATATGTGTATAGATAGAACAACAAATGCCTGGCACTATAGCATTCTCGGGGCTATGTACAAGTTTGCTCGTTTATTCTTATATTCGCACAAAAATCGAAGGGCACATTTGATTTTGTTTTTCAATCCGGCACGCGCCTTACGATCGAAACAATTCATAGGCCTTTATACTCTCTACATAAAAAAACCAACAGATTCTTTATTCTTACTTTGAGCACGAAATTGAAATATTTCGACGGATGACTTTTTTGGCGGCTCGAAAGAACGCGCGAAGAAATTCAGTCCGCAATCGTCGGTGCATGAATCATTTTGTTCAAACTGTCCACGGAGAGCGTGTCGTATCACAAACTCAAAACGATTTCACCGTCTCTTCCAATGTGCTTCCATCGTACCATGGCGGTGCGAGCCACGCTATTACGATCTAATTTCGATCGTCTTAAAACGGCGACCGCTTACAAAAATTTCTCTATCGCGTTATAATTATCCTACTTGTCTAAAGGAAAGAAAGAATGACAGAAACACATAGAAAAGTAATAGAAACAGGAACGTAGAGCGAGAGAAAAAAAAAGAGAGAGAGAGAGAGAAAAGTGGACAGTAAAAGACAGAGGAAATTAAACTGAGGACAAAGTGAACGAAAGTCGGATGGAATCGAGTTAATGTTGATCGTTTAGGGGAATTTTGCGTCTGTCTAGGACGAATTGTCTTGTCTTTTCGCGAAGCGCTCGACGGCCATTGACGAAGGAGTTCGGAGGATCTCGGGGACAAGGGGGCAACACTGTGAGATCGGTTGCCAACGTCGTACCCGTGCTCCTACTGGCAGAGGCGGCTCGGCGTTGGTGTCCACGTGGCGATACCAAAGCCGGCGTGGCCTCTTCTTTTAATTCCTCACTCCTCGAGTGAGATCCTAGATGATGGAGGTGATCAGTCGCGCCTTGAAGTTGACAAAGCGCTCGCTCGTGGCTGCCAGGCGCTGTAAATTAGAATAAATCAGTTTCAATCGTTGAATTGAATCGATCGCTCTTAATTATCTATTCATTCCAATATCAATCTCGGATATTTAAATAATCCGGATGTGATTCGGTTCAAAGATCTTTTCCGGTTACTAGAATTTGTATCTGCTGTTTATTCTTCAGACATAAATAATTAAACATTTCTCACTTTCTTCTCAAGTCTTCCTGATCTTCTTAAATTGTAGTTATTTAATACAAGCTTTGCGGTAAATCAAACAGGGTCAGTGTACTTGAGATAAATAGAGATGAATTATAGACGCTACATTACGTGTTGCACATACACTTACGGATGTAACATAAAGCGCTTTCCGCTGCTCGCGTCTTCGTTTAATCGCGCAAAATCGCGGAGAGGAGTTTAACTCGCCGAATCAAGGAATTCCGCGCGGCGCACAAAGCGTAAACGCTTTCGAAGCAGTGCGCGCCGGACGTTCCACGCTAGCAAAACTTCTCGCACATTCGGATGAGTGAATTAACGTGCCGTAAATTGCGCATAATAAAGCGATTACGGTCGACGCGAGACGCTGCGCGGAAAAAAAACACTATGAAGTACTGACGGCAACCGTCAGTACCGACAAAAATGTTTCAAAATATTTACTTTGTTTCCTTTCTCTACGCGCCTTTATTTGAACGGCTTCCTCCCACTTGCACAATCGATTGCCGATCGATCGCTACGAAATTCTAATTTTCATTACGCTACACGATTTCTCGCAGCCATAATTCGATTACACATCCTGCGATCTTATCCTGTGACTGTAATAGACGCAAAACCGGTATTTGCGCTATTTAAAGATTTGTTTCGAAAGATTGCATATTTTTAAGCGCATTCTCGCTGTTAATTACTGTATTTATTACGAATAAAATTTTTGATTAAGTTTTAGATATGCTTTGAATTTTATTATTTCTGCATAACTGTATATTTTACAACTTTGTACTCTTACTTTCGCACTCTTTCATAGTTTTATAGTTAAAGCTTTATTAATATGTATACTTGTGTGTATATATAAATATATTAATCAACTATGCTCTTTTTTTAACCGGAAAAACGTAGATAATCTAATTCAATTTTTTCGTTAGATTGATATGCAACAAATGTTTTCTTTAATTATACATACAGTGCGGTTTATTGCAACTTCGACACGTTATTTAAAGTCTTCCGTGAATTAATTGCGCATTCTTTCGTTAAATGTTTTCACTTTCGCTAGGAAGAAACAACGTCCGTGCACGCGCGTGATTTATAACCATAATAGTGCATAATTTTCTCTTTAATATATGCATGTTTATAATAATTATTTTTAATAAACATTCAAATAGAAATTACTCCTATTTAGTAACAATTTTGTTTTTATTTTTAGTAAAATCAAATTAATAAATAACACATGATAAATCTAAATTACCGTAGATTATCATAATTTGTACTATTAGGATATTTCTTTGGAACGGTACTTTTGATAAGAGAGAGCGCTGCGATTATTTACCATTAACTGATTACAAAATCTTCAAGTCATCGTACGGAAGTAGCATGACTAGCCGAGTAAGAATAAACGTCGCGGTTACATCGACCAGATGATCTAAGGTGGATTATTTTCCACGGTCTGCGCGGCAATTCCGAGTATTACGAGCATAAAGATCATTGGTTTAAAAAATCATAGAGCTGATCGCATGATAAAGTACAGAAAGGATTCTTGCGTGATCGTATATGATTTAAACCAGTCCGGTTCCGGCATTTGTATTTTAATGATGGTTTAGATGACTTTTGCTACTGCTAGAATACTTTGTATTATTATATGGCGGATCAAAATGGACTGCGAAGCAGATCTTAGACTTTGATTGCACGATAATTTCGATCAAAAGTTGTAGGGGCCCATTATTGTATTACAGTAATCGCGCGATACGCGCACGGATCTCGTCTTTCGACTGTATCATTAAATCAAGTGGAAAATCATCCGTCTTGCATTATCTAAAGGTTGAAAACTAATCTGACAGTGTGAGATGAATGATTATCTATACAATGTCTAGTCTACTATAACTAATCATTTCATGCTGCGGCAGCTCAGAATTGATTAAAACGCAAGATGAAAGTGCTCTGTTCAGCAACACATGAAAATTATCGCGAATAACAAACATCGATCTTTTTAATATTTCTTTCTTTTGTTTATCACACTATAAAAATTGGTTTAGCATTGGACTTTACATTTATGACATAAATTAAATTCGAAATTATATTTTTTATCATATTATTTAATATTCGGCTAATTATCACATTTTAGTTCACGTACAATTATCTGCCTTTCTAAAAATTTTTTACTCAAAACTTGATAAAAAAAAAAAGGCAGAAAAAGGAAATCGATTTCTTTTTTATTAATTTATGTAAGAGGTTTTATATTCGCAATTAACCGGTCGCATGTAAAATGTGTAAACCACGTGAGATGGACACGATTTCGATAGTAGTCGCCGCGGCCACTTGTTGCCCCTGGCAATCTCGCGTGCCGGGAGCGGTCTCTTGCATAAGTTGCAGCTGGTAAATGAACGCGCTATTTCACAGAGAAAGTCGCTTATATTTTTGCTTTCCATCGATTCCGACGGCGCGTTCTCTTGCGTAATTATCCGGTTTATATCTAAAACTGCGGGACACAGAGCGCCGAGGTGCCTGCTCGACTTTCGGCACTGCCGAACACGCGATTGACCACCGTAAAACGTTAATTTCTCCTTTACCGCCGTACTCGAGGTATTAATCAACGATCGCAGCCGGTGTAATGCGGCCGCAATTCGACCTTCGTAATACGGCTATTATGCCACAAACCTGTCCCGACACTGCAAATATTATGATAGGCTTGCGTTTCTTTCATTTTAGAATTTTAGAGAGAGAATTTATGATATGCTGTGACATATTTTTTCTTAATTTTTATTTTGTATTATATTCTATTGAAATGTTTGCAACTTTTTGTGTCAGCTTTTATTTATTTTTCGGGCGATTTGTTACTTTTAGAATGAGTACTTTCTATATTAATTTTGTTATAATACAAAAAGTATAAAAATCTCCATTTTTTATTGAAAGATTTAGTTTTATAACAGCTTTATAATGAAATATTTAACAGTTTTATATTACCAAGCCGGTTTCTTATCTGTCTTAATTAATATTGTAATTTTATATAAGAAACTACGACGCGAATTTCTCTTTGCAAATCCTATAAAGGAACGAATTGTGAGTAACACCGCAATTATCGCGTATCAACAAATGCAGTCAATTGCGACGACAAGATTACTCACCGCATCGAAGTTGCATCACGTGTGATATTATCTTTTCATAGTTGCATTTATTTAAATTAATTGGGTTATAACGCGAAATTTTGCGTGCGAAATCCGTGCGATGAAATGCCGTCTAAGTAATAAATTTTGTTCCTATTTTGTTCCTACTCTAATGATGTTGAAATATCATTGCTCACGGTTTCCCGATGATAAAATATAAATAATTAACACGCAGATACGAATAATTAGTACGCGACTTAGTTAATACACTTTTGCGTGATTACGAGCACAAATTGAGTTCTTACAGTTTTCAAGCAAATTACGCTTGTGATTAGCTATTATGCGTTTTCTAATTATTATTGTTTTACAAGGCCATGTGTCAGTTCGACGCCTATTAATCAGTCGCGTTTCGACTTTGACGTAATTGGTCGATGTTTCATCACGATTTGCTTTCGACCGAACATATGAGTCATTAAAATCACGAAATCTATAATTGATATCCGGAATATAAAGAGTAAGCTCTCGTTACGCTACTTTGTACGTACGTATGAAGCAAATTGACTCGGATGTCTTTCAAAACCAGTTATTAGATACTCGCATGAACCATTATATATACTCGCATATTGTTAGCAATGACTCTGGCTTGTAATGACGGCATTATCGAGCAGCAATTATTTATTCTATTACGTATAGGATTTGATCGGAACGATAAGATTTCCTCGAAAAAAAAACCGCGGTTGTGAAACTTGTAAGCAATCGTATCTATACTACAGCAACACGATTCTTATTTTAAAACTGGTTAATTTTTTTTTATTTCAAGATACGCGTTCTAAAGAACAAAGAATAATAATAATAAAATTTAGATTGTAAAAATCAGACTGTTATAAATTTTCTACATTTAAAAAAGAGAAAAAAAAAAATTAAAGATTGTACCGCGATCTGTCATGTGACGCGCGCGAATACTCACAAGTATGAGATCCTGGACGAGATTCGAGATTCCTCGATTGGCGATGACAAAGAACCTAGTGACGGGGCCAGGTACAGCTTCTTGCGTGTCGTCCGTCCTTCCGGGGGTAGCGCTGCCAGAGGTAGTGCCCTGCGAGGAGGAGCTTCCGCTACTGCCAGCCACCAGCTGGAAAAGAGAGTTCCGTCGGCGTTAGTCGGCGGCCAAACTGAGGGATGTTCCGCCGGGACCTCGCGTCCGGATGCACTCCGGGACGCGCGGGTGGAAGCGAGCACAAACATACGGTGGAATTAATTTGCGAATCTTTTGTTTGTTTGCTTGGTATGTAATTGCGGTGTGTATTGCAGCTCCACGTCCAACTCCAGCGCTCCCGACACTACGGTGCTCTCTCACATCCTTATTCCTACTTGCGGCTATATACGATCCATCGATCTTGCTGCTACGATCCTTACGTGCGCTCCTTCGGCTCGTAATATTCGAAGGTTTTGTCTGCAGAATGTCCATACGTTATTTTTTTTTTTTTAATTTTTTATTTAGATCGAGATTGGTCTTGCGTCTCGCGAGGCAATTGCAAAAATTTCCGTACGGACATCCTGCAAATGCACCACAAAAAGGTGAGATCGCTAGTAACCCAATAAGGACAACAGAATCAACCATATGCCATGACGGACTCAATGGACGCGCTTCGTATCTAGCGATTCGCGACGCAACGTTACAGGAATAATATCCGTTGGCGTTCACGCGAATTCTCTAATTACGAACGCATCGAGCGTACACGTCGTGGATTAATTGCCAATTTTACAATACTACGAAATACAAATCTCTGCCTGGCAGACAAATCGGTTGCGATGATAAATTACCGTGTTGAAAAGCAGTGAAGAAAAGTGATGAATGGAAGTTACTTTATTGCATTTTACATTTAATCTGCGAACATTATTATTATTTCTTGTAACCGACTCGTCTGCCAATTAATCTACGTGCGTTTACTTGCGTTTACTCTGGAGTGCGTCCAAAATACGATGGAATAAAATACAGCTACGGCTGCTAGATATACGGTGCAGTGGACGAGTACGAAGATCACAACAACGAGAGAATCGGCACTGATCAATGGCGGCCGTCAGATTCCGAGCAAATCGGCCTGTCCATCAGCCGGTCAGAGTACGCCATACAAAAAAAGTCTTTTAGTCGGTGGTTGTCAGCGTTGCGTCGGGACCGTTGGCCGGGCGGAACAAGATTTGGGGACTTGGATTTGGAACGAGATAAGTGGGGCAAAATCATTGGGTCAATATTTCAGAGTTGAAGAAAACAACAATTATCAAAATAAGTAGAAAATTATCACTTTTCTAATTAATAGACTTAAAAATTTTGACGAGTCAAGTCAAAACTGCCATATCGAAAGAAATTAAAGCAAAGTGTTTTAAAAACACTAGTGCTTGTATTTTTTTTTTACAAAATGTCTATTCTTTTAGCTTTTAACAAGACTCTTGTATAAATATAAATATGTTACTTGTTTTAATAAACTACTAACTAGTTGTACTTCAACTCACGTTGGGACTTTACAAAATAACAGCATATTAGGAGTTAAGGATACGCAATTTACATGCCAAGACCTCATTGCGACATTATACATACAAACAGTGCGTAAATGTGAAAGAAGTCGCAGTGTATAAGAAAGACAGTTTCTTAGAGGAAACGGCGGATTAGAATTTGCTGTCATAAATTATTTCAGACACAAATAATGCACATACGACAGGTGGAGATCTTGATATGCAATTCATGCGCAGCGAGATAGACAAGATCGGCAGAGGCTTTGTACGAAGGTAGGAGAAACGGCGAGAGGAAGAAGAGAAAGATCCAAGACAGGAAGAGTGTCGGTAGTAGAATGTCGGTTGAGAATAAGTCGTCGAGAGGAATTAAGTCACCGGTGGAAAGTGAGTGAAAGATTTAAGAGCGTCTCGACCGAAGGGTGATCGTGGTGTGCGTGCATGTGAAAAAGTACGGCATGCGGATAAAGTGTGATTCAATATGAGCAAGATTTCGTAATCGAAAATTGTGTGAAAAGGAGCTTGGTGAAAATAACAGAACAGAGAACAATTAAAATGATGCACAATTGTGCAGACCTTGTGCGGTTGTACTACTTTTGCATATACTGCGTAGCAGCACAAGATTGCGAAAAATGCGGGCATGTTAATAGAGTATGGTGGTAATAGAAAACTCCGATTGATTCTAGAAAAAAAAAAGTAACTCTGTGTTAATAAGAACAAAAAATCTCAGCTTTTCATGCGATTGAAAGACAAACAACATGCTGAGGATGAAAGAAGTGTGAAAGTGTAGGAAATGAAAGAGAGCAGGCATTTATATAGTATGTATTGGTAGAATGAGATAGAAATAGAATGAAAGAGAAAGAGACAGAGAGAGAAAGAGAGAGAGAGAGAAGAGAGAGAAAGAGAGTGTGTGTTACTGGGCGAACACGATAAACTCGATTGATGTTATAGACGTGCAGCATCAACCGTGGACGATTCGCATGGACAAATGCAAGAAAATACTCCGCGTACGATATATTACACGCAACAATACTTCCTGTGCGAAGCTTTAAACGCGTAATATGCTCAACGCCGATAAAGATTTTCTTGGATTTTTAGAACAAATGTAGATCGTTCGGTGCGCTTCGCTAACGAAGTCTCACACGCCGAGCGATCCAAATTCTCCAAATGATCGCGTGCGAACGTCTCGCGTTTATCGGGCCCTCCGCGAAGAAGCGCAGTATCTCTGTCGGCGGACACTTAGACGTGTGTCGGATGGATTTGGCGTACCGGTGGTAGAATGCCGGCTCCTGGGGCGGCGGTCGAGGGTGCGCCGGATGTCGGGGTGCCAGTACCGCCGGCAGGGTTGGCGGCAGCGGAAGCGGCCTGCCGGGGCGCCGGGCTCACGTCGCGCGAGGCGCTTAGCCGAGCCCGAGGCTCTGTGTACCGGCCACTACGCGGTACACCGTGCCCGCCGCTCTTGCCGCCCCGTCGGCCGCTTGCTAAACGAGAACAGAGACGAGAACTTTCGTTTACTTGGTTCTCTTGCCCTTGCCCGCTGGAAGAATCGCGCGTGTTCTTTCGCTCTCGGTTTCTCGGTCCTTCGCGCTCGCGATTACGCGCGAGATTGCTATCTCCTCGGGCGCTCTTCGCGGTCGGCATACGTTCTGGAACTCCTGCAATGTGGCTGGAAAGTGGTACGTTAAGAGCTCCGGGATTGCAACGAAGCGGAGTCCTCAGGGGTCGATCGTCAATGTTTTCACGTAATCAAGTTGCTTTGCCGTAAAATATGAGGAGGTATTAATAGCTTAATGAGTGTCCACATAAGCGAGATTTATGTGGAATCTGATTTAATATTTATGAACGAGTGCCGGTATCTTTTTCGCATATAAATTTTAACCTATGTAAATATGTTATTATGAAATCATCAAATGCTGTGTTTGTGTTAATTGATTGCGACATCGCAATCTAAGGTGACAGCAATGGCATTGGAAACTTTAGTACTAAATATCGTCAAAAAAGTGATTATAGCCTATAATATAGACAGCAACGGTACTGGAAATTTTACTATATATTAAAATATCTTGATCGTAGTTTATAGTGACAGCGAAAGCATTAGAAATCTTACTATTAAATACATTTAAAAAATAATTTTTTATTACATCGTTAACACCATTTCTTGTTACTGTTATTTGTCAATGTCATAATCAAATGTTTTACGATAAATTTTGATTTTTACTTTTAGAACCATTAAAATCTCCTACTGCAACATTAATCTCATATGAAATTATAAAACGTTATTTATTTCACGGTGCAATGAGAATGCTGTGCGCTCCTGGCATAATTCCGATTCCGAGAGCTACTTATTAATGGCAGGTGAATATCCGCAACAAGAACAAAATATCAGTCACGTAGGCAAGTTTCTCGTTTTCTCAATCCGCGAGCGGTGAAGGGTCGCACCGCGACCGACCGGTCTGGAATCGCTTCAAGTCGCTCGTAATCGCTTGGCGTTTTTACCAGGAAAGTGGATAACGGTGGCAACGGCTGCTCGAAACGGTAACTCGATTTTCGCGCGATTGCATCTGTCGCGTTGGCGAAAAACCCGTTCCACCATAAATGTCGCGAGTAAAAAGCCAACCGCTGAATATCGTTAGCGTGCCGCACCGTTATTGTTAACATGCTTCCGTCGACCGATTTTATTTCACAAAATATATATATATATATATAAATATTAAGAAAGAAAGAAATATAAAACAACTATCTCATCTTACATCACAAATATGGCAATATTTTAATATTTAAAGAAAAAACAAAGTTTACCAATAAATTATTCTGTCTGATAATAGTCTGTTAAATTGATTAAACCGCAAAATATATATTTGCCATTACGATAAAGAAAGTGTCATCCGATCTGTCTTCTATTATCGCTAATTTCTAGATTTATTATCTTGTGCTACTTTACGAAGTTGTTATTGAACGAAAACACAAATTTTCGATTTAAAATCAAGGATGCGTCGGCGGAGATCCTAGCTGAAGCAATTCCATCGCGAATCTCGGCCGTGCCTAGGTCAGAAACCTTGGAACGAGCTGGTATGGCGCGGTTAAAGGCAATTCGGTTGCTCACTTTCACTGCCGTCTGCAGCTACAGGCGCCCTTGCGGTCGCCCGTCACCGGAATATCAAGTGCCCGAGATCTACCGCGGCATGCCATTATCGGCGCAATCACGAGTCTCGCAGTTTTATTTTTTTCTTTCGTCACCTATTTTTTTTCCTCAATAAAAATGCAATTTCCGTTCGTTGTAAGAAAGTCCGCGTTCTCCATTTTGCACGCAGTACGAGAGAAATATTGAGGGAAATACTTCTAGAATCGATACGCGACTCACCCTGATAATATCGAAGAGGAAGTTGCCCGACCCGGCGCTTCCGCCGGTGCCGCCGCCGAAACCGAAGAGGAATCTCTTATTCCTGTTCTCGTCCTCCTCGTTCGTTTCAATCTCGTCCAATGGTGTCAGGTCTTGCGCCGAATTGTCGCTCGACACTTCGTCCGCGAATTGCACTCGCACCTCGTTGTTCTGAGACTCCGCTCCGATGTCGTTCACTCGATTCTCCGACTCCGGGTTCACGTCCTGTAAAAAGACATTTTCTCTAGGTGACAAGAAATCAGGTGACAAAGCGAGAGCGATCCCGTATCTCGCAAACTTGCTGCGTTATTCGTTATATCAATCTATGTCGCACGGAGCGCAAGCATAATTATGACATAAAAATATATCGGCATTGATTGTTAATAACTATTAATTAAGATTGCTGAAATCAATAGATCGTTGCTGATTTCTTGGACACGCGCCAAGAAGAAGTACATAAAAAATCGTGATCGTAAAGGCAAGTAGGTCGGCTGCGTAATTCCAGAGTCCATAAAGTGTGTTTAGGTCGATGTAACTCCAATGATATTTTATTATGAATTATTCATGACAAATCTGCATACTTCTATCGCACTGAACTTCATCCCTCTTCGATCAAGAATTTTCATGCACTACAATAAAGCAAGTACGATTGGTATTTGTACATTTTAAAGTCTTTCGGAGTAGGCACGTATATTATGATTATATTACGACAGATTATTATTATGGTCTTGTGAGAACATAAGGATAAATAACATGCGGGTTATATACGTTTTATAAAGACTGTAACATGCATTTTATCGCAAGCAATAAAAGTAGCGTTAATAATAAATTCCACAAAGTTTTTCACATAACAAATGTTAAATTACACACGCGAATTTTGAAAAATGTCGTGTAATCGTCAATAATTCATTAAACGAAAAAACGAAATTGACATATAAATATTGATCGCCAGTTCTTTTGTCATTCGTAAATTACGCACGAGTTTTACATCTGCAATTTTATAGATATTACGTAATAAATAATATAACTTTATTATATGTAACTTTTTTATTATATTTTATTTTTTGATTTAGCAAATAGCTTATTTTTTCAAAATCAAGACTGTCTCATTATGTCCTGCAAAAACTGGTAACATAAAATTGTATGATATATTAAAAATAGAAATGAGCGAAAGATCGAAATATAATAGACTGTTTGATGAAAAGTATCGAGATGAACTAAAAACCCCGTAAAGCTTCCACCGTTGAAATAATTTAAGTATCGTAAGTGAAAAAATTGTCGAAAAAATAAAGTGTGATCTGACTTTGATCAGAAATATATGACGAGGAAGTAGAAATTGGACAGACAAAGTACAATTGAATAATCCTGCGAATGGCGAACACAAAGATCATGAGAAAATAATCGAAACATCAAAATGGAAAAGCAACGGAACAAATATTTTTCCAGTGCAATTCTGTGACGATGCAATAAAATCTAAGCAAGACAGCAATAACGAATCGCATCGAGATGCGGTGCTATTGACGTCATTAATCTATTAATTAGATGAGACACACGAAAAGGCGATAAGAAGTTAGCGAATTACGAAAACGTGGCCGCAACAGTCCTGATTGCGCGGTAACTTAGCGATCGTTAGAAAGAGAGAGAGACTCTTCGAGGTTTGATACGATCGATCGGATTGCCGCCGATCGACTCGATCCTCGCTTTCTCGAACACCCAGTGAGTAGTTAGCACACAAAGTGGACACGTGACGCCGCGGCAGTCCTGTATGCGCGGTGAACTTTCTGTAGCCTGTGAGGATTCCTCAAGGCCATGAACTCGAAGGTGTTACCGAGCTGTTGACCGAGCGGTCACAGCGAAGTGGTGACTTCGTTGTCTGACGGCGATGGTGTTGTTGTCGTAGCAGTCGTCGTGGCTGCGGCGTCAACATCACTTCCGCTGTCTGCCGTATCTGTCGCTGTCGTTACCGACGAGCTCGGCGTTTCCTCGTCGTCGGGCGGGAATGTCGGTAAATTGATCGATACTCTGGAACCGTTCGAGCCGACTGACGTCCCGCTATCATCCTCATCCTCATCCTCATCGTCGTCGCCGAAGGGCGATGCGCCTGACACGCTTGTGCCAGTGTTGGTCCTTTCGATGCCCGGGCTATTGTTGCCGCCGCCGAAAAGTTGGCGGACGACGACCGGACCGAGAGCACGAATGATTTCCGAGATAATAGAGTTGACCATCGCGTCGATTCTCTAGAAAACAACAGGCCTTAGCTGAAGAGCCTCTAAGCTTCACGATCTTCCTTTCACCCGGGTTTCGAGACATTGCTTTTGCGGCCGTGATCAGTAGGTGGTATGATATTGATCCACGCTAGTGATCGTTGATCTTTTTTTTTGTCTATGATTTGTGTATGATTTTTTTTTGTTCTATAATTTTTCGTCTGTGATTTTTTGTCTATGATAACGTGAGCTTACATCGTCTGGTATCTGTGCGAGGTCTTTTCCAAATATCCTGACAATCGTTCGTTTGATGCTGAATGTTTCGTGCGAACGGTTGAATGTCGTGCTTAAATATTGACCAATGATTGATTTATTATCGTTTCTTATAAGATTGGCTGGGTTCTCTTACTACCGGGTTTTCTTTCAGAGACGCTGTGAGGCATGGGGAATTAATTTCACCGCTCTTACATAATATTCGGCGCTTGGCCAAGCGTGTTTCAGCAAGAGTTTTACGACTCTATCAAGATTCTGGAGACAGAATTAAATACGATCGCTGTCGAAGCGCAATTATTAATCGAGAAAATCTATCGCATCACTTCGCATTATCGCGTTATCAACCATCGTGCGCTCGTTCACGAAGACGACTCGTAAAATGCCGGCATAATTCAACGAAAGGTCGTTTGGTACGCGTAAATCGCGACTTCGTAGCAATGTGGGATAACTCACGCTATTTTGCAAGATTCGTTACTAAATCAATTGCTATATTGTCGTTCGACATGCAACTGCATGCAGAACCGACCGACGTGACTGGGAAAGCTATTTGCTAACGAGATAAAAAAAATCACACAGCCCATTATTAGTCAAATTAGGAAGTTATTCTTGGGACTATTCAATGGGCAGCACGTACAAAAAGAATTTCATGCGTAAGAAGGAAACTTTCTCGAGTGTACTCGCTCCTGACAAGTGCAGATTTCTTTTACCGACCGATTTGGCTTAGTACCGCGCGATTTTTGTTCGGACCGTAATAAAACTCCCTCTGACAAGATTCTATGAATTCTACGATTCAGGTAAGAGAGCGAGAGGAAAAAAGAGATAAGAAATAACTCGGGGAAACATCAGGTGCTTAATAGCGGAAATGGGCGAACGCGCGGTGGTTCTTTTTTTGCAAGCGCGAACATAACTAATTGTATCCGCTTTTGCAACGCGGACTAAACTTGACGAATTGGACCGAAATGAATCGATCCATACGTGAGTGCACGAATGAATGAGCAAGGAGTAGCCGGCTAGTGCGTCGATTGACTTGCAAATCGAGTGCGTTACTTTCTCGGTAAGAATGTTGAGTCAAGATTAAAGTATTCAGTATCAGGATACCGCATTACGGCGCGGACCTGCAATGGTTCGACAGGACAAGGTCTTAATTAGCGTGCGGTCAGAAGTTTTTAGCGCGGATATCAGCCCGATGCGCTCGCTCAAAGACGCCATACTGTTGCTTGATTGTATTTGTCGTACGAGGTGATCTACGGTGATAATTTATGTACTGGCCACGCCTATGAAATGCCGCTCGGCCCGTCGCTCTCAGTCCTGGCCTTCTGCAGGATTTCTCTGATTTTCGAGCTTGTATGCACGACTGCTCACCTGAGTGATATCTGGGAAGAGCTGTCGCAGAATGCCGACTGTCCGTTTGCTCCTCAGGGCCGCCTCGCTGTCGGCTTCGGCCATCACCAGCCGATCAAGGGCCTGAAAGAAAGTTTCCTATTGGCCCTGGCCGTTTGACAGCAATCTTTAATTTCTCACATCTTTATGACAACGCCAATACTTTTCAGCCGACGATTCATAGGATACATCAGAATTTTCGATCGGCAGTCATCGCGTAGACTTTGAATCGTGAAACTTTATAAATTGGTTTTTTTTTTAATTTAATAGCTCAACATTCTGCAGAACATAAAAAATGTCTCTCTGCATAAATTAGCGTGAATGTTTGCACACTTCTGTGGTTGTGCAAGGAATTTTTTTGTGCAAGGAATTTTTAAAAATGCGTAAAAATTGAAAGTTCTTTTAACATGCGATTTATGCTCGCTCTAAAGTATGCAAAGTGGCATTGCCGCGAACTCCTTATATTAAAAATAATGATGCATCATAAATGTTATTGTTGAAATGTCTTTAAAAGTATCGCAAAGCGTATCCGCGCGTAGCAAATAAGGAAAAGCAATTTTCTCATTCAAGTGAGAAATAAACGGTAAAGGCCATGGAGTTTGATATGTTTGAGAATGTTAAGGTAATTGTGTTGAGTAATGACCTTTAGATGGTAGCCAAGCAAGGATCATTAACTTAGCGCCGTCGGATGTTGAATGAATTTGCCGATTATTTTACAATTTATTCCCGAACGTAATAACTAGTGAAGAACTTAGAGAACAAAAAAATGATATATTATTGGATTTTGAAATAAATTTTTTTATGCGAAAAGTAATACTTAGTTAACATGCATTTTAAATTCGAAAGCAAAAATTCGCATATGTATTAAACATATTACAACAGTGAAATAAGATTGCGGCATATTTAAATGATGTTAATTATAAGGAGTCAACCTTCGGCTATCTTCGGAGGGCAATCTATTTATATAACAAGGTGATTTGATTCCACTGGCATTAATGTATATATGTTATATTAATTCACCTTAAAAATAACGCTTAAAATCTTAGATTTGCCAATGAACAGTCACTGAACTTAAATCTGTTGCTCAACACGCATGCTATGGTTCACTTTCCCTGAAACCTCGTTTACATTCGAGTAGTCTTCGCGATATTTATCCCTCCCACGGAATTTCGAATGTAATTTTGTTTCCTTGCATTTAAAATATATAATCTTAAACGACGAAAATATATACATAAAATACATAGTTTTTAACTAATACTTATATATATATATAATATTTCATTTATATAATATTTTCCGTATTAATTTTCTATAACATTTATAATTTTTTTGTAAAGTTTAAATCATCGAAATTTAGTGATTTTTGTCATACTTTAAAAAAACATTTATCAAATTTTTCCCAAAATTTTAAGTACATCTTTTATTCGATCTGCTATTTGTTTTTGCAATTATTTACATTGAATATCACACGCGAAATCTTCTAACCGCATAAAAGTACAAATCAGGCGTATAATCTGCGGCTTGTTTATGCACGATGTTTCGAATATCACACCGTGATGTTACATGCACGTACGCGCGTACGCACCAGCTTTCCATTGGGCACCTATCGACTGAAGAAAGTGTCCAGTAACTTCACCAGTATTCGCGGCCAGTGAAAGTGTCGGAGCGAGGACGAGAGCCGGTCGGACGACCCGGCTTTTCGTCCAACTATATACTTTGAGGGTTATACCTCCTATTTTGCGGCCGCATAACCGAAACGTTGGACTCTCTACCGGCGACTCTTGCACCCCGACATTATGCGTGAAATATTTTCCATACGAATGACTCTCTTTGTATCATGTAACTATCTGGTTGATGGTTACCTCTTCCGCAACACTTATGCTCACGCGCGTTATGTTATATGGCCTCAAATTGTAGCGATGTTGCATAAACCATGGTAATTATAACGTAAATTTTCCATGATAAATGCTAAGTTTGACTAGCAACGATGAAACAGTAAGCATGTTCAAAAAAACGAGCGATTTCTGAAATCACATAACGCAATGCCAACATTTTCGGAGAACAAAAAATTAGCGCAGTGAAATCTTAATGGATAAGATCTAAAAGATAAAAAATTTTCAGTGCACACATTTCGTCATATATCATTAAGCATTATTTAACGAAAGTTTCATTAGTTCTGTAAACATAGTTTTAGCTATTAAATTAGTTCTGTGAGGACAGTACTTTTGTCAAGAAGATTTTTTAAAATGCGAATAATAAGAAAAGCCCGCGATTACTAGCATTTCCGAGTGTAACATTGTTAAGCAAACAAACGCTTGTTTGCAGTCCCGTAAATCGCAGGTACGATATTGCCGTGAAATCCTAATCGCCATTATTCCTCGCCGATCTGTTCGCGCTGTAGTTTCGTTGCGATTGCCGAGTGAAAGACTCGTTGAAAGTGAGACATCGTCCCCGATCGTCAAATCGATAAATTCGGTAGTGCGATCGGGGATTTAATGGCTGGCAGATCGAAACGTAGCTAAACTTTCGCGTTCGAGAAGAGATTACGTTTTATTATTGATATTCGCTTGATGATTAGTAATCGCTCGTAATTTCCACGTGTCAATTATATGTCATTGTGAGAAATTCTCTGCGAGAAGTATTTTCTCGAATGCAAATCGGACTTTCTCTTCAATAAGCAATAAATGAAGAGAGCGCGAGTAAAGATAAGACCTGTGGAAAATATTCATATTACGGCCCAAGTGACATAGCGAATGTTATTATAATTATTATCTAATTCAAAATGCAGAGATAATCTGCAGAATTGCTCATACAGTTAATTATTATATTCAATTATCCAATTCGCGCATGTCACACTTGAAATTCGGCCGCAAATGCTGTTAGTCGCGCGCGGTATCATTCGTGTTAGATAATTAAGCAATAACATATAGGAGAGCCGGCCGTTTAATCCGTCGCGTTAATCTCAAATGGATAGCGATGTTAAAAGAGAAAGGCACATGTGAAGATGCGCCTCTCTCACATGCTTACCTCGGATTGGAGTCCATCTTCCGGAAGCGGATGCGAGCTCACCAATGCGAGACAGAGTGCAGCCGTCAGTGTCAGAATGATAAACCTCATCTTGATCGGATGGATAAATTCTGCGAAAACGAAACGTCACGTTACTTTAACGTATTCACGCTATTTTTATCTTACGATTACGGTAATTAATGCGCATTAACGCGTTGCGGTATCGCGGCATTTTCTCATGATCAATTTTCCGCACGGCGCTACTCGAATACGCACGGTGATTTACGCATTGCGGTAGCTCGGATTTCTCGAAAGCAATTTCTCGCATTATACATATTGTTATCTCATTAACTTCCGTGTATTCGAGAAAACGGTGTTTGCTCAATAAACGCAATGTGAAAATGAGAAAAATGTATCCGGGCAATGTGCATTGAACGAAAGACTCTTCATAGGCCATAATTCTGCGTATCTTGCGTGGTGTCTCTCAAGCATTGTTTTTTAACGCGTCTCTCACGTGGACTTTGACACGCGAGGATCAGCGCCAGGTCGGCGATACAAGACGGAAATTGCTTATGAGGATCATGAAAAGGCGATGAAGACAGGATGGTGCGGGGGGAGAGGACCGGGAGGGGAGGGGCGCAATGACTCTCCTTTCTCGAGCATGGATCCGTTCGCGACTATCACTTTCGACGGAATGAAAGTGGAGAATGCTGTTGGCGTCTTCCAGGCGCGGGAGGAAAAGCGCGCGCGATAACGCGCGCTTCGTAATTAATCACGTCCGGATCAGGATTATATTTATATTTATGTATTGATTCTCTCGTGTGTTTCCGTGTATAATGTAAATGGAAATTTATACTCGTTTTTTATTAGTTTCTAATTAGACAAAATTGCCGATTTTGCGGCTCGGACGCACTGAACAAAGCTGACAAAAACCAATTATAAAAACGTCTAGTTAAAAAGATTCGTACATTTATTTTAATATTTCTATATTGATTTAATCATAGAATAATTTAATGAAATTACTTTACCGAAATAACTTTGCTAGACGAAACATGGGATGTAAAATTATGAGATGCTGTTTTTTTGCTACGAGAAGAGACATGCGCGTATGCAAATAAAGTACTTAATCAAATAAAGATGACTTGGTCGGAATAGTTTATTAGACGGAACGTGACATGTTAAATTACGAGATGCCCGCTTTTGTTGAAGAATAACGTCGATGTGCATGTATGCCACGTGCAACTAAGTACGCATGCATTTGGCACGTTCAATTGATTATGGCGATATAATGGCAATTAAGACGATAAAGATTCAGCGCACATCTTTTCTACTCGGGGACAATGTTGCAATATTTTATTTGCGAGGCCACTTGTCAATTAATTTATTTTAACACCTGCGTACTGTTTGTACATTTTTTTCCATACAAAAATTTACAACATAAATTTCATACAAAAATACTTAAAAAAAATTTTTTTTTAATGTTTTCTTTACATAAATGAACATTGTCCAACTCATGTATTTTTAAAATTGGACATATTATGAAAAAATTAATTTTAAAAACAGACATATTCTGAGAAGTATTAAGTTATGCTTAAAGAAACAATTACTTGTCTAATATAATATACAAGAAATTTGAATTAAGATTACAATAATTGAATTAATGTTGAAAAACTTTATTTTTTAATTTTTTAATCGCGTTAAAAAAGTAAAATAAATAAATATATAGTTATATAACAAAACAAGATTTTTTCAACAAATTTTTGTACGGAAAGGAAAGATTTTCTTGGGACATAGACAAGTCGAGTCCACGCGGTTTCAATTTTCACCTCTAACTCGCTATTCTGGTAAGAACCACTTCAAGATTTTCACTCTACGCAACTTCTTCCTATTTCTCAAGATTACTTTCTTCCTCTTTCTTTGCTAAACGTATAGTAGTTATCTTATATACGTAACTGAAATTTTTTAAAATAAATTTGTCATTAAACTATTAGAAAATATTGCTTAAAAGACCTCAAGTTTCCATCGGACGACCGATTACTAATGGAACTGTGCGTCCAGATGGAAAGATTTCTTTGGAAAATTGTAATATAGAATAGCATGTTTGTTAAATATTAAATGTATATTTTAACTAACTCTTTGCAATTAACAAAAGAGAATGAAGAATTTGGTCTTTTTTTATTTCATCAACTGTGACATTTTTGTATCTGGATTTTTTTTATTTTTAACATTGCTAAAGGATAGAAATGCCTCCAGAATTTTTCTTATCTACACTCATTTCTAAGAACACACGAAACTCAAAATTTCTCACTTGTCAACACCCCGCCACGTGCTCGCCGCGTACAACAACTTTCCACGAGACACTGAAGACGAGTACACGGGAAATCCGAAAAAAGTGCTATTAGATACTGTGTGAACTCACCACGCACAGATTATTATCCGTCACACGGCTCGTTGTAAAAATTATTCAAATTGAGAGAATTTTTGAAAAAAAAAACAATCTTGTGAGACCCTGAAAGAGCTCTCAGCGGCTCCTGCTCTCTTCGGGGTTTTCTGTTACTGTCTGTATAGCGACGCTTAGTGAGCGGCTTTTATTAGAAGGAGGGGCCTCTGCACCACCTCCACGGTACACTTATGTCCACGGCCTCCCGTCCTCTCCTTCTATCATGACGGGAGATTCTGAAGAAGGGATCGACCACATCGATAAATTTCGATTCAACCACCAAACGTGGACATTTTGATGACGACGAGAGATGCGAAGAAATGCATATTTGATAAGCTCTCAGATATACTTATGTAATTTACACCTCTATTGCACAGAAACCTTGCGAAGTTTTTTATTCAAGTAAAAAAGTAATGCTTGACATTCTGATTAAGCGTATGTCTATCTTAAAATAAAATCTTTATTAATGACATGCATGATGCTAATTAAACACTGGGATCTTTTTCATTGAATTTTTCATTTGCCTCAATTTATAGCGTCTCTTGTTTCTAATAAAAAAGAATATTGATTTAGAATATTGATAAAATCAAGAATTTGCCATTATATTGTGAGAAAGACACACATATCAGAGATGTAGATAACACATCATTAAGACACATCGGAAGCTGCTGAGATGCAAAACCTTGAGCAATCACAGTGTGAATAATTATGGAATGAAATTCACATTTGATGTTCAAAAATATTTATTTTTGGACATTTAGAGTTATGAGACATGATGTATTCGCGTATCGTTTACATGAAAGTTATGAAGCTAATAATTACAATGACATTTATTGATTAACGTCTTAGATTATTATTTATTGCGTCCATCCATGCGTTGCTAACCATCACTTTTGTCACGATTACAAAGTGATAAACCTTACAGTAGCGAAGCCTTTTTTCTGACGACATAGGCATATTACATGTAAATTCCTAACGATTAACATAAAGCGGTGTTGTAGTGGCTAATTACACGAAAGCGCACGTACAATACATCTCTCTTAGTCATTGTAACTTGGTCACTCGGGTCATGGTGTGTCTTGATAGTTTCTTTTTTTTTCTTAAAGTGAAACCGCGACAATGATGCCGCGCGGCATCGTTTTTCTATTCTCGCATTTATAATTCACGGTAAGCGATTTTAATATGTCGCATTACAGTTTTGCAACAGGACGCGTTACGTTTAATAGGAAGTAGAAAACGCCAGAAAACTTGCGTTAGCGAATCGATGCGTAAACATGCGGTTGCATGCATGTAACTCGGCTTGTAGATATGTAACCCCTGCTAGTGGGGAGAGCGTAATCACGATCGTATGCCGTGAACTTATGCCGTGCTCGAGATTATGTTTTTTATTCTTGTTGGAATATCTCTCTGTTTCCTTTACAAAGATATAATTACATCTATGATCGCCTTGAGCCACTTATTGAAATTTTACATACATTTTTTGTCGTGTTAATTGTTTTTTTTGTGACTAAATGATTTACTTCCTGCTAATTAATATTGTATATTAATATATAACATGTAGATGTTTATTATCATAGATTGAATAGGATACACTATTACAAAGTCGTAAAAGGAGTCGTAAAATAAAACTTAAATAATTTATTTGTTATTTTACTTGTCTTCTTTATGAGGTTTTGTAAAATATTCTAGACGGTAAAAATGATTTGACTACTTAAGCAAGCTCTACTTAGGCAAGCTCTTCTCGCTCTACTTAAACAAATGCGAAATTTTCATTGCAGCTGATTATCTAATTGTTTATCAACAAATGTCGAGAACGAGTATAGGGTTGCAGAACAGATGCATGTAATTTCGATATGCTTCGTTTAGCAAGAAAAATATTTCTACTTACTGTTTCTGCATATTTTGAGGCGGTCTACTGGAACGCAAAATACATTTTGCCATTTTAATATTTCTCTGTTTTAGATCTTATAAAAGAGATTATATATTTTTGAATTAGCCAAATTGGATTGCAATTTTATTTTTTTTTAAATGTCAAAGATACCAAAGATAAAAAAAAAGAAAATAATAAAGAAATTCGTGACACGCACGACTGACAGAACAAGCAACTTTAATATTTTTGTGCATATTGATTGTCGCAAACATGATGTCACCAAAAATTTAATAATTATTGTAAAGATAAGTTTGATAATTTTTTATTTTACGTGTTTATACCGTGAATAAATAGCAATATATAAAATTTATTGAATTACAAAATATAACAATCTGTGTAAAGTAAAATCTTTCGTAAGAAATGAATACTCTTACATATTACACTGTCGTAATATTGTAAAAAATCGATATTGATTCGTACGTGAAATGTACACTTGCATTTGAATTTTACGTCTGAATATACCATATTTTAATAACTTTTTTAACCTGAAGAATGTCTGTAAAAATAAATATAGATAAAAACAGAAGCATAAAGGAGAAATAAATTATGTATTGTATTATACTGAAGTGATTATAATATATTTGCATGTGTTAGCTTTGCATATTGCACATTGCAATATTTTACGTGTCATTTTCTTTAAAATTGAAGTCTAGACGAGATCTGCGAGATTAAATGTTTTCTTTGATTTAAAATTATGATCTAAGAATTTAAATAGACAATAATTAAACTGATAATGTTTAACATATTTCTATATGTAATTATGTATGCATATTACATCAAGTGTTATTTTTTTATATCATAATAAAATACAAGATTAAAACTGGAAGTTTCCGCGAATAAAAACATTTATTTTTTGTATTTCCGATTTGTGACTATACATAAGTATGATAGAAAAATTAAACATCTTAGCGTTATTACGAAGATACATATGATCGATTTTCGAAAAATGTCAGGCAATATTAGATAACATAATATAAAATTTACAGGATTATCCTTGAGCAACACGACGCAGCTTACTTTTATTGTTCAATCTTGAAATAAGATTCTTAATTTCCGATCAAAAATACATAAATATCTATTACCTTCATCTATATATTTAACTGTATATGTATTTGTAAAATCGCGTTTTACAACGCACCAACCTTTCTGTTCGAAGAATTACGAGTGTACTTTGACGGATTGATTTTCTTCTCCCGGCATTTCCGCTCATTACTTGTCAGTAGGTTAAAAAGACAGCACAGAGATAGGTAAAGTAATTATTCTTTTACAAAAGAAGATGACGATCTATCCTCGACGTTATGTACTTGACGATACGATTGGTGCATACATTAATATGTCATCTAAACATCATTCGCTTGAAAATTATTTTTAAATTGAAAAAATAGTTTTCATAAATTACCACAAATTATACAATCGACATTACGTTATAATTACAATCGAGATTTCTGTATATATTGCAGTAGTCTTATTTATACCACGGAAATCTACAGCTTATAAATCTTTTTTTTTTTTTCACCAAGTAACACGTAAGAAATACATATAATGCAAACGTATTTCCGACGCGTAATCCGCGCCACGTAACGCAGAAGAGAACGGTATACACGCGACGCTTGTTCCGGTGTGGAATTATATTCAAAGAACCGAACGGGGCGATCAATGGAGAAAATGGACAAAGAACTCAGTAGTCGGTAATTCAGTAACTTCAATATCCGGTATCAATCGATCCCTTCAATGTCCTCTTGCGTGTAACATGAAACAGGATATTCGAAAGAGATTTCGTGATTAACTCAATCAAGAGGGGACGTAATCATGACTTTATTTCGTTGGCATGCGGAAAGAAAATGATGCTTGATATATTTGCCAATTTAATTGATGCATATTTAATAGCGTATTCAACCGGACGCACTAGTGCGCACTAAGTGTGTTCTTTCTCAATATCTTGTGCTCTGTTGGCCTTGCGCATCTACATTTCAAATCGTTACAGTTATATGCGTACCTAGTAATAAAAAGTTGCATAGGTATACAGTAACAGTGCGCGACAGCCGAATTTATCATTTAAAATATGTTTACGCCGAAACATATTATATATGTAAGAAATAAAACATAAGAAACCAAAAAAGTAAAAAATATATTTAATTGTATACGGCAAGCATTGCTACAAGAAATACTTCAAACTTGAAGGGTGATAATTTTCCGCCGGCAGATATTACGACGATTATCTGAACATTCTATAATAATACCTAAAGAACTTGCATTGTGATGGATATGAAGGCAATCGTGGAGTTGTGAAAAATGACGCACCGATTTCTCGTTACTATTCCGAGAGTTTCTGGGGAGGGCAAGGCTTTCTTTCGATATTCTTGCGAAATCACGTTGAGTCATCTGTTGCTTGTGTTTCTTTATTTCTTCTCCGTCGCTTTCAGCATGTTTATTTGATTTGTAAATTCGATAAGGCGCATTACTAAATAAATAATTATATGCCGAGACTTCACTTGTTAAAGGTGAACCGCTGCACTGATTCTGTCAAACCCTTAGATAGCTGAAGGTAACTGCGCATCATTTCAAATAATTTTAAAACTAATATAAATATAAAAAGTATTTTCAGCATAAAAAAATTAATTGTACTGTTTTAGTAGTATAAAAATGTTACGCATAATATTAAAATAAATAATTTAAAAGCGTAATTAACTTACCTTGAAAAATTTTAAAAGAAAAAGAGAAAGAAACAGCAGTGTTCAAGAAAATATTGGGAATTATATATAATATTTTTTTTATAGATGTGAATTAATTATCACTACACACATTCACAAGTATAAATTTCTGCAATCTTGTGAGTTATTAAGCAGAACATTTATGGCTATCTTTACGGTCTTTATATCTAGTTTAAGTCATTCAATGTTAAATATTTGTAAACAAAAATTATAATAATTAAAGAAATCCTTGCATGTAAATTCAAGTCGCCTTGCTTGTAAATACAGTTCTGTGTAATTTTAACACATTAATTACGGTTTAAAAAAGACTTCTGTAATCTTTTCGCTATTTAATGGTACCGCAAATTTCACATTTCAGTATGTTTTGTTTGATGTGAACATTCTCATAAACGCTTTTATGATATTTTCGATTGTTGAACCGAAAGCGAAATATCCCGTCACCAGTGAAAGTATGATGTGACTTGATTCTGTTCTCGACAAAAAGAG